CTAATCTACTTTCTGTCTGTGTAGATTTGCCTATTTTTGGGACATATAAAGAGAATCATAAAACATATGGTCTTTTGTGTCTGGCTTCTTTCACTTAGCAAGATGTTTTCAAGGTGCAGTCCGAGGTTCATCCATGTCGTAATATGTATCAGTACTTCATTCCTTTTAAAAAAAATTTTTCCCATTTTTAAATTAATTAATTATTTATTTATTTTTCCATTGCTTTCAGAGAGAGGGGAAGGGAGAGAGAGAGAGACAGAGAGAAACATCAATGTGAGAGAGAGATACATTGATTGGTTGCCTCCCGCGTGTGCCCCAACCAAGGCCGGGAATAGAGCCTGCAACTGAGGTACATGCCTTTCGCTGTAATTGAACCCGGGACCCTTCAGTCCACAGGCCAATGTTCTAACCACTGAGCAAACCGGCTAGGGCTAAAAAATTTTTAAATTGATTTTAGAGAGAGAGGAAGGGGGAGAGAGAGAGAAACATTGATGTGAGAAACATGGATCAGGCCCGGCCGGGCGTGGCTTAGCAGTTGAGCATCGACCTAGGATCCAGGGTTCGATTCCCTCAGGGCACATGCCAGGATTGTGGGCTCAATCAATGACTCTCTCATCATTGATGTTTCTGTCTCTCTCTCTCTCTCCCTCCCTCTCCTTTCCTCTCTCTGAAATCAATAAAGATATATTTAAAAAACAAAACAAAACAAAAACATCAATCTGTTGCCTCCCGCATGCACCCCCGAACATGCAACCCGGGCATGTGCCCTGACCAGGAATCGAACCGGCCACCCTTCAGTGCATGGGACAAGGCTCCAGCGAACTGAGCCACACTGGTCAGGGCAGTACTTCATTCCTTTTAATAATATTAAATTATATCCCATTGCATAATATTACACTGAATATCCACTGAATAATATTCCATTGGATATACTATATTTTATTTACCCATTCACCAACTGATGGACACTGGGTTATTCTAGATGAGGTTCGAAGCAAAAATGAGATCCTTTTTTTGTCCCCAAAATTTCCTTCCTCTTTCCCCAGACCCCAAAAGGCTGCTTTGATTATCTGGAAACAAGAGGTCCTCTGAAGGGTGAGGTCCAAGAACTCAAAGAGGCAAGAACAGCCCTATTTGTTGAAAGCCTAAAGAATATTTAACCACTGTTCACAGCTCTTCACCTGTTCTAGTTGGTGTCACTCATGTAGAAATGTGTGTTTTTATGGGAAAGGGGGTAAAAGCAGAAATCACAGAGCGTGTCTCGTTCCACACTGGTTCCCCAGCCCCTCGCCCCCGGCCTGCCACACAGAAGGCACTCAGTAGCTATCCTTTCAGTGAGTAAGTAAGTCAGTGCTAAGCCACCTGCTCCCTGAGTGGGGGTCTGTGACCACCCAGGGGCCCGGGACCTACTAACTAATGAGGGACTGCTTTTGCCTTGTAGTCATCAAGAGCCCGCCCGACTGGGAGGTGGGCGTCTACGCGGCGGGGGCCCTGGCGCTGCTGGGCATCGCAGCTGTGAGCCTGTGGAAGCTCTGGACGTCGGGGAGCTTCCCCAGCCCCTCCCCGTTCCCCAACTACGACTACAGGTACCTTCAGCAGAAGTATGGCGAGACCTACGCAGAGGCCAGGCAGAAGGTGAGGCTGCCCCGCTCCTACTCCCGCAGGTGCAGGTGCGGCCAAGCTGTGGGCCCCACGCCCGCACCGTCCCCTCTCAGCATCAACCTCTGCGCCCCCCCCCCCC